TGCTGTATTATGCAGATGATAACCCAGTTTTAAGTTGTTACTGAGATACTTTTCTTCACGTTTCAGTTACCAGTGGCCACTTCTGTTACCATTCAGTTACTACATGTGAGTAGCACTTGCTTACATGCTTTATTTAGTACTGAAAATAAGAACTTTTATGTATGGTAGAGGATTTCTTCAAGGTTGTAGAACTCCTTAAATATGTTCTAAAGAGTATATGTTTAATAAAGCTTTTTAAAAAAAATCTTTTGGAAGGAATGATGCATATTTAATTTTAGTTAGTAGTAAATAAGAGTTGGAAAGCAAAGGTAAATTCTGTTTTACTTTAGGATCTTGGAGGGTGAAATCTAGCAAGGAAAAACAAAACCTCCCATGCTCTTCGTAGATCAACTTTTGAATACAAAAGATCTTAATGGAGCCTTGTCTGAAATGCAATCTCTGTATAATATCTCTGTATCAGGTGGGTTTTTTTATTCCCCAGCCCTACATGAATGATGAATTTGATATAAATCAAACAGAGCTGTAGTTAAACAGAGGTTACCAGATAGTAATAATCTGTCATCATTTAAAACTAGATCGCACAAGCATATGGGCTAATTTTGCAGCCTGGAGCAGTAAAAGTTAGAGATAGTAGTATTTCTAAGATTGGAGCTTATTAGGTAAATCCTAGCAGAATTCAGCTTTCATCTCTCCTTACCCTTGCGATTTCTGCAGTAACTTCAGTCCTTATAAAATTCCTCTTCAGGAATTCAGTTGTGAATAGATCTACAGTTAATATTCAGACATAACATATTCAATACATATTTGAAGACATGGATGAATGCATAGGAATTTTTTGATTAATTTTTAAAGTCAGTAAACTGGTAAATATCATAGTAAGATTATTTATTAGATTCTTAGAATTATCTCAAATTGTACAATGTGCTTTGATTCCATTCATTCAGGGGCCTGCATAAGAAGACTGTTGCATCTTTCTTAAACCAAACTGATCATAACCTTCAAAAGCATATTTTGCACCAAAATTATTTGCAAATCTCATTATACTGATCTTCATTATACTGATCACTGATCTTCAGACTAAATTTTTGTAGTGCCAAGTCACGTACTCAAAAAATAAGTTGTTCTCTTTTGCAGACATTTAGCCCAACATGACAAAATTGCAGGAAAAGGATGTCTTTACCTTTCCTAAGTACATCAAATTTAAACAGGCCACTGCTTATTAGAAAGGTTCTTCTCATCAGACGAGGTGCTATTTCAGCTGAGATCGTATGAGAAACATCATATATGGAAGGATCAGACCTATCTTTTTCTGAGTTAAACGCGTTTGGGTCTTACCTTCTTTCAAATTATTGAACTCACAGATAGCGGTATTCTTGTTAGTAGACCTGAAGGCCATGTCACATGCTCCTCATAGATTTCATTGCAGCTCTACTACTCTTACATTTTCAAGTGACATAGTTTGAATATTCCAGGTGTCATCCACATTAATGATACCTCCTAGCTGCAGGTTGTCAGCAACTCCTCACCGCATGCATACTTTTATAAGTTAAAGGTTCTTGAGTGTATTTACACTCCTCTAAAGTATGAGAAAGCAGTTCAGGTTGCAAATTCACTTAACAGTTCTGCCTACACTTAGCAAGTTAGGTTCCTTCTGCTGGAGACTACTGTGTAACATGTCGGATGAGGTGGAATCTGCCCGGCATTTTAGCATGTGTAGCCAGAGAGGATGTGAAACAAAATGTTCGCCTCAGGGCTTGACTAGTGGGAATTAGCAGTCTCAGTGAAGTTAACCAGGACATGAATACCCAGCCAAGAGAAGGATTTAGAATGGGAATCATTTACTTCCTTTCATAAATTCAAGAGGAGTTAGTCCAATCAGAAGGAAAATTTTAAACACCCCTTGAAGTATTACCTTTATGAAACATGAGAAATGGTTTATTCTCACATAGGTGTATGGACATACGTAGCAGGCTTAAACAGACCAGTGTATATATATAGCTCTGGAACAGCTACTGCTTTTCAGTATAGGAATTAATTACAACTTCACTGTTGTTTTTTTTACTACCAATGGCAGTTGTTGAAATGAAGCTTGTATCTTGAAGTCCAAGAAGGTTTATGCTGCTCGAAAGATCAGAAAGATGTAAAAAGCAGACACAACACAGCAGACTTTAATGTTATAAAAGTGAAAAAACACGTTTTAAACTAAAGTGTATGAGACTTCTATGATTTCAAGCAAAAAATATGAATATGCAAAAGAACTTGAATATATAGACTTAAACAGGAGGTACTCAAGGAATTTCGATTTGCAGAATACGAAGACTGTTCATTGCTGTGAAGATGACTAGTATGACTGCAGGCTATATTCAGAGCAGAATTTTAGACAAAACACAGGACATCGTTAGATACTTTTGGGAACCTATGAGAGGAACCCATAGGCCTGCTGAGAGAAGGGGGCATTATTCCTGGAGTTGCTTCCTGATGACTAAGCTGTCCCAGCAGTTCCCTGTGCCTCACACTCCCCAGCTGATGACTTAAAGAGCTGTACAGGTGGCATTAAAAGTCGGTTCCTTGCCAGCTCTGCATATCCACAGCATTTCTGAGTCCTTGCCATTTGCCTTGCTGACTGCTACACTCATTCTGCCTCACAATTTGGCCTTGAAGAGTTTCCTGTCTTCTGTCATTCCTCCTCCGAATGCATCCTTTCGTCATTTTCCCACTTTCCAAGGGCAATTCAATCAACTTGGAGACAGCGAAGAAATTTCTTACCGCCTTGGTCAAGTAGTATCTCCCTCTATGTTCTACCTTAAGACAAGCTTTCATAACCTACATTATTTCTGACGTGTTTTGATATGTTGCAAAATTGGCCTTGCTGCAATACCAGAAAGAATATTGGTTATCATCTGGTCATGATAGATGAGGGGTCAGAAAAGAAGAAAGTGTTTCTGAATTTGGAGACAAGCACCTATCTGATCAGTGATCAAAATGAATAGTCTGTTAATTAGTCCAACTCGGTGAGTTTGCCACCATAGTGACTGGGATCTGTGAAGTGTCTGAAGATGGAATACAGCCCAGGTTTCAAGTACCTTTAGCAAAACAATGAACTGTTCACTTTCATCTGCTTGAAGTTTAAGCCACACTTCTAACTTCCCTTTGTAGCCCACAGGTAAGTGGGCTTGTAGGGTAGCAAGACAAATGCATGCTGTGACCAACATGTAGCAACATCTTTTTTAAGAAAAAAACAGAACAATCACCATAGTCAATTGCTACTGGAGTATTTTGTGTAACAACTAACCTGCTTTCAAGGCTTCCAGACACTGGGATATAATCAAATACTATCAACTGCTGGACTGATTCACAGAGACCTCCAAGTCCATAGTAGAAAAAGACAGTGCCCAGTACAAAGACATGAAAAGTCCTTTGGTGGAGCCCTACATGAAACAAAGACATTTCCAGCAGTGCATGCAAGCTTATGCTCAGCAATCACAAGCATGACAGCTGAAGAAACTAATCAGACTAGCTGGGAGGGGAGGGAGAGAAAGATTTT